GTAGTCAAGGGATGGATAACTCTGCACCGGTGTCAATAGTAAATTAAACTTCCGGGCAACCACTTCTATGGCGTTAATTGCCATGCAGCCTCTGGCTACGTGCCATGGAATCCTGGAAAGCTGAGGTGTTTGCAGGTCTCATAGCGATGCTGCGAAGTTGCCCGCCGCTACTCGTTTTCCCGAACCTCTTGCTGACCTGGCATCCTGGCCCTCAGCATTCGAGTTACGAGCGTGAGCAGTGGTCTCTCCTTCTGATCTTCCGCCAGCGTCAACAGGAGAGAAGTCTCCTCTGGACTCAGTAACTCACGGGGCATGCCCGGTAGGCTGTTGCTGTGTCAGTGTTCTGCGACACGTCACTCCTTATACCCCGGTAACTTTGCAGTGTTCGGAACGTTTTTCACGCTCCCTACTTTCCGCAGCGGGACAGCCACAGGGAATGTTGCCTTTCGAGAAGCGAGACTTCCTCCAATCCTGATCGGTAAGCAACCCGAGCTGTGGGTGACGGCAGGGTGGCTCTCGGCTCTGGGCGGTGGTGCGGCTAATGCGCCCTTCCCTGGCCTCATCTGCCAGACTCCCAGCAGTAATGTCTCTGCTTCGGTACTCATCGTGTTTGGGAAGGCACGACACCTCTCTCCTCCACAAGCGTAGCTTAGAACTACGGGGCAACGATGAAATTGTTTCGCCGGTTCTTTTTTTTCTCTAGCTTGCCCTTGGACGGTAGTCATAATGGCATCACGTGTCAAGGACTATGGGGAGGTGCATAATTGCTCTCCGGTTCGATATATACAAGTGAAGGTGATGAGTAGGGCTGATGGACAAGATGCCAACAAGCAAAAACTCCTATTGACGACACTTGCACACGAATTTCACCTCGCCTCAGCGAAGCTATATCGTGGACTCCTGGAGGACTGTTTTGTGCGCTACTTTACGAAACACTGCTCAGGCTTGACACTCAGATCTACCGAACATACAATACTCGTCACGGCACAATGCCAACGAATTTTTAGAGTCTAGTTGTGACGACGAATATGAGGTTCGGACCACTGGATTGTAGTATAGGTGTCAACACAAGAAATAGCAACACGTAAACCAGAACAGCTGATAAAAGTGTTCACGCCAGGAATATGCCGGGGCTTTTATTCGGCCTTAGTCAACAGGCCTAAGGTGAACTAAAAGATGGGTGCCACAAAAATCCCACACAGCGTTGTCGCTGGGGATACAGAGATAGACACGATGAACTGAACAGCTAAACAGTACTAACTAACACCTCTGTAGTGAGTTGCTTGCCCTGCTGCAGGGGTTAACTAGATACTTGGTTATGCTTAACGTGATCCGTAAGATGGGGGGCGCTCCCGCTTGTGGCTGCAGTGCTGGCTTGACCCGTCT